TTTTGTGACAATAGAAACATTCCCTGTCATCTTTTTGTGGAGTTGACGTGGATTGGTCCGTAACTGTTTCAGCAGGCACATTTTCAGTGAGCACAAACTGAAAGGTAGACTTATGCGTAAGCACATATTCATCGGCTAACACAGCAGCAGAAGACAGTGAGTTTACCTTTTGCTCATTTAAGTGAACAACAACACGTTCAGGTAGACAATTTTTGAACTCTTCCAATAGAACAAGTTCTCTCAGAGTATCAAAATTTGTCACCTTACTTGAAGCACACCAACGGTCAAAGAGACTTCCCTTTTCTCTGGCGAACTCTACATAGGTCTGAGAGGGGCTTTTCTTAAAAGACCTAAATTTTTGCCGATAAGCCTCAGGAACAAGTTCATAAGCTTTCAAAATGGCAGCTTTAACCACATCATACTTTTGGGTGTCTGAAAGAGGAAGGGCGGCTACAACCTCTTGAGCTTTACCATAGATTTTGCACTGTAAAAGCAAAGACCAAACGTCAGGTGGCCACTGTAAAGCCTGTGCTATTCGCTCAAAAGCAGAGAAGTAAGAATCAATCTCTGTCTCTCGAAACTCAGGTACTAAAGACACATATTTAGTAACATCAAAGGGACTAACTGAAGAGGGCCCACCAGAACTACCACCAGGGCTCTCACTGGCTGTGTGAACTGTGGATCTGGCCTTATACTCGAGCTCTAGCTGTCAAAGCTTTATAGCTTTTTCAGCCTCAATTTCCAACCGTTTCACTTCAAGCTGGTATTGCCTGAGCTGTGCTTTCTTCTCAGCCTCAACTTGCAACCTGGCGAGACAAACCTTCAGGCGAGCGTCAACTTTGGACCCAACAGATCCAGAGGAAGCCGAGAGGGGATCAAACCGAGGAAGTGTGACAGGAGTCTGAATCCCACCAACCACCTTCATTTCCCCCTCTGGTGTTAGCTCCTGAGGTCTCTCTGCAAGGTTTGAGGGGCCAGCAGATTCCATCTCTGCAGCAGGCACAGCAACAGTTGGTAGAGCAGATGAGACCGGGATCTGCAAAGGCAAAGATAACAAGTTCAACTCAACCAGTTTATTCACAATTAGCTCTTTTAGTTCCTTCTTCAGCAGTTGCTTGGAATAAGAAATGGAAAAGTAACTTGCAATCTCAGCTAAATCAGCTTTACGACAAGATGCAAGTTGTTCAAGAGAAGGCTGTGCCAAGAACTGGTCAATATTAAACTGAGCCATTTTTGAACCAACAGCACAAACTGTACAGAGGCACCTTCAAAACACAGAACCAAACAAGTTTTCTAAATTGTAAATATGGGATCGTATTGATTAGATCCCGGACGAGCCCCCATTTAATGTTACGATCCGGTTCGGCCAGGGGAAAGGGAAGTAACATTAAAGAAACCTAGATGTTAAGGTTTAACAATTTAGAGGTTTATTGTTTGGGTTTTTGACAAAAATAAAAAGTTAAAAATAACAATAATCAAAATGTAGGGACTTACAACAAAAATGTACAAAATAAAATAAAATCCATAAAACAATCAGAGTTGTAAACCAAAGATCTTAACCAAACAAAAATGGACTTAAAAGTCCAGGATAAACAAAAACAAACTACAAATCTCTAGCCGAGATACAAAGATCCCCCACAGGGACAAAGCGAATTACACAAGCTATCAAAAGCTGTCAGAGCTAACTAAAGCAATCAGAGCCAACAAAGCAAGTTTACAGCAGTCAAAAAAACACCCAACAAAGTGGCAAGCTGTCTGAACAAAGAATCTCCTTGGAAGTCCTTGGTTTTAAAAGGGAGGCCTCAACAGCGATTGGTGGAGCCGG